TAAGATCCCCAACAGTGATTGGTCACTAAGAGACATGGCTACCCTAATAGGCTCACTCTAAGCAGAAGCTTACTTACTTTCTGGGGTGGTAGGTAATAGAGCTCTTGCTTGGGTGAAAATACTACTCATCAGACCTTAAAGAAGAAAGGACATATGCTTTGTGATCTCCTCATTACCACCAGTTTCCTAAGCTTCACCCTGTGTTAAACTACAGTTTAATCTAAGAGTTTGTCTAGACTCTAACTGGGATTTGAGTTTTGTGGTTGGTGATCCTTTCGAAGGTTATCTGGCATTCTTGCTAAACTGCAGTCTTGGCCTATTCCTGGTTGGCTGCTTCAGTTGTCCCACTAAAGGGACTGCTGCCTCACTAACACAGAAAGTTGACCCCTGAGTAGATGATTTTGCTGAACTATTATTTGAAAATAGACCTGGGGAAAGACCTTTTCTAGCTGAGATATGGTTCTTTTTCTTTGTATTAAGATCAGGCCTTTGTGACGCTGACTACAAACGATGCCTATGCCAAAGGTGCACTTGTCCTGGGCTCATCCTTGAAGCAGCAAAGAACTACAAGGAGGATGGTTGTACTCATCACCCCACAGGTCTCAGACTCCATGAGGTGAGCATTGCCTGCCTAACCATCTCTTCTCATTAGGGTACTAACATCCTTTCCCTATTTCTGGAATCAGTGGTCACTGACCCATACCTTCCTAGGGAGCTGAGCACTAGGTAGACACAGATACGTGATGCTAAGCTAAAGACTCCTGAATTTGAAATCTCTTCTTAGCTTTTGGGAGATTTTCCAGGATTCCTCCTGGGAAGCGTCATTCCATCTGGGAATGAGAAAACTTCCCCCTCATTAAGTCTTCTGGGGGTGAGCCTGCCAAATTATGTCTGTTGTCACTACTTAGAATCCTTTCCCCAAATGAAGCTAGAATTGCATTGTTTCCCATAAAGAAGGAAATTTTCAGGTAAGATTGAACAATTTTCTCCACTTTCAGCTGATATTTGTCACCTAATGATCTTTATATATGCTAGAATAAAATCCTTATTATTAGGCTTTCTGAAACTATTACAGGATTTTTTAAGAGATACACTGAGAAGTACAAGCTGCTTACTTATTGATTTGGTTAGTTCCTTTTGATATTTGGAATTCAATTTTGTGATATCTGGGTATTAACTTTAAAAATATCTTGGTGTGCCAGCAGCATTGTTTTATCTTACTTTTACAGTTACCTAGCCTTCTTAAAAATTGAGAATACCTTACATTTTAAAAATGAAAACATAGGCCAAGAGCCTTTAAAAACAAGATGTTATAAATATGTGCATATGCAGGTATATGTATCTTCCACATTAATGACATTGATTTTAAATAGCTCTTGAGAAAGGTGTCCAGAAAACTTTCTTCTAATATTTCCATTACTGAGAACTGTGTAACATCCAGATTTAATCTTGAATCCCACTGTCGTGATCCCCTAAAGTCATTGGTACCACTGATCATTGTTAAAAAGAAAAAAAGACCAAGTTTACTCTTTGAAGTAAAATGTATTTTTACTGAGCGGTAAAATGCAACACCAGTTTTCTTCTGTGAATATGTTAAATGTTTGTATCATTTATTTTTCCTCTAGGTGTTGTGCCTACTTGATTAACATTCCACTAAAGACATACAAACTTGAGTTCAATCCTCAGCACCACTCTAAAAATCTGGGCATAGTGGTGTATGGTGGTGCTGCTTGTCTGTATGTCTGGAATCCCATTACCAGGCAGAGAGAGGTGGATCCTTGGACTTCTCTAGCCCCTTGTCCTAATCTAGTCAGTAAGTCCCAGATCCCAATGAGAGAAGATTTCTAAACAAAACAAAACAAAACAAAACAAAACAAAAAACAAGGCAGATAGTTCCTGAGGAATGATTCCCTAGATTGACCAATGCGTTCCACATACACATGCTATTGTGTGCGTTCGCTCAAATACATGAGCGCGCGCGCACACACACACACGCACACACACACACACACACACACACACACACACATATTTAGGTAGTTTTGAACACTGAAAACTCTTAAATCTCATAGGCCAAAATGAGCCAATTATGACCAAGTAAGTGCTAAACACTTATTAAGAGTAGTTACACTGTGTTCCAAAACAGAGATCTCATAGTTAATCCTTTTAATCTTCATGGGGACAGTCTTCTAGTACGCTTTCTTTTGCTATGATAAACACCATCACCAAAAACAACTTGGAGAGGAAAGAGTTTATTTTGACTTACAACTGATAGTCCATTCATGAAGGGAAATCAGAGTAGGGCATCAAGGCCCTGGGGACAGGAACTGAGACAGAGGTTATAATGGATCTCTGCTTCCTAGCTTACTTCTTAGCTTGCTCACTCAGGATGACCTTGCCCAAGGTTGGCACCACCTACAGTGGTCTGGACCCTCCCACCTCTACCAGCAATCAAGAAAATGCCCCCACAGAGTTGCCTAGAAGCTAGTCTGATAGAGACATTTTCTTAACTGACATTCTCTCTTTCCAGATGACTCTAGCATGTGTCAAATTGACAAAAAAAAAAACAACAGCAAAAACTAAACAGTACAAACACAGAAGTTCAGGAAATTATTGGTTTATTACTCTAGGAGAAGTGATTAGTTATAGTCTTTATCTCACATATTATACGGGCATTATCCAGCACCATTTATTTAGAATATGCAAAAGCCAGTCAAGCCAATTCCAATAAAATGTCACTGTCAAACACGTGGGCTTTTACAGAGATATACTCCCAAGTGTTACTCACAGTTTTCAAAGGTATTTTCACAGCATGCCAGGTATTCAGTGACACAATAAGAAAGAAAATTCTCCTGTGATAATTTCTTAAGACAAGTCGAACCATAAATAGTTCCATTACTTCATGGATTTAACTATATGTGCATATGAACATAGATGTTCTGGGGTGAATCAAGACAGATTTAAGGGATTTAAAGGTCAGAGAGTTCAGACCTATTCTTGCTCCTTCAAGGTTACACAAAAGAACGGGATGCTTGACCTACAGTGTGGATACAGGATGTTTTGCTTTGACAAAAGGATATTTTGACTTAGGGTGTGATTACTTGTTGTTTTGAGAGGTGAGGAGGAAATTGCTTTATTTGTTCTTTTTATCATGGCAAGGGAGTGTTTTGCCTTCCCCCCTTTTGGATTGGGGTATATAAGAACTCTGAATAATGAACAGTATTCACTGGATTATTCTTCCTCAATTCTCCCCTCCTCTGGAAAGTACCCCATAGGGCTGGACCCAACACCAATGACAAAATGACAAAGCACCTGAGTGTCTTATGATTGATGGGTAGGGCTGTAAGGGAACAGTCTTAGAGTAAATGGGTCATGTGCTTTGAAAAGATTCTATGTGATGTTTTCTGGAATTTATTTTTACAGAAAAATTTTAGAGACTGTCTTTGATGAAGTCATCATGGTAGATGTCTTGGACAGTGGCGATTCTGCTCATCTAACTTTAATGAAGAGGCCTGAATTGGGCATCACACTGACAAAACTCCACTGCTGGTCACTTACTCAGTATTCCAAATGTGTGTTCATGGATGCAGACACTTTGGTGAGTATGACTTTAAGGGTTGAAAGGATATGAATAATAATAGAGACCCATCACTCATTTGTGAAATACTGTCAAGTTTTGACAATAAAGTTCAGATAAAACCACTATTATAAAAAGTGTCAAGGAGTGAAGGGAAGTAATCTCAGGCTGCCTTACAGGTGTCACCATCTTTTGTGTTGGGTGACAGGGAGAACCTAGGAAGGTATGCATAAGCAAAGCATTCTTGTCTTTGTCTTTCTCTTTCTTGAATCAGGTCCTCTCAAATATTGATGATCTTTTTGAAAGAGAAGAATTGTCAGCAGCACCAGATCCAGGGTGGCCTGACTGTTTCAATTCTGGAGTCTTTGTCTATCAACCGTCAATTGAAACATACAACCAGCTGTTGCACCTTGCTTCCGAGCAAGGTAGTTTTGATGGTATGTATCTATCGTGTATTTGATAAGCTATTTGTAAGGCCCCTCTCTCTAACACACATATACAGACTCAAGCACATTTTTCTGTGAATGCATCAGAGTAACATAAACAAAAACAGAGAAGTTTGTTTGTTTTGTTTAAGACAGAGTCTCACATTGTCCAGCCTGTTCTCAAATTCATTGTGTAGCCAAGAATGACTTTGAACTTCTCATCCTCCTGTTTCTACCTCCCCAAGTGCCATTCATCACCAAAACTGGGTTTGCTGCTCGGTGGTGAGATCAAACCAAGCTTCTGTCATGCTAGGTAAGTACTTCTCCAGATCCACGTAGATGCCTTAAGTGACTTACTTTATCTAAACTAGAGTGAGGTTTGGAATGAATTCTATCTTAGGGCTAAGGTCAAGCACAGTGGCAGCTTGCTTTTCTCAATCCCAACACTGAAGAAAGAAAAACAACTTCTGTTTTTAAACCTGAGCGCACTACCAAAGTGTTTGGCCATCATTGCTAACAAGGACCCAGTGTTGTGTCTGTGAGAACATAAAAAACAGCCTGATAATTGGGCAGCCATTCTTTCGTAAGTCATTAAAAACAAATTTTATATGAATAATTTCTACTTCCGAAGTGTCATTTTTTTCTAAAAGTCTATGTATTAAGCAAAATGGTATCTTCATGAGTGTACATTGACTAAGTGCATAATAATTATATCTATGGCTGTATGTGATATAGGCCTCTGTGGGGGGTCTCTGCAAACCCCCGGACAGGCAGTGTAATCCAAATGAGGCAAGAAGAAAATCTGGTTCAAACGTCTAGAGTGTTGACAATTGGGCAGTTTATTTTAGGCATATTAAGTAGAGTGCAATTTAGAAAAATGTTTCCTGATATAACACAATTCTATGTGCACAATGAAGCATAATTACATTGAAACTTTTTAAAACACTGTCATTTCTCCCTGAAGATGGGTTCTAGAGCTAGGCTAGATGTGTGATCTGAAGGCCATAGGATAGGAACTGGTGTGGTCTCAGTCATGCAAATACAGTAGTCACTTTGTATCAGACATTTGACACTATGTCAGAGTTGTAAGCAGGAAACATGATCCTGGCCAGAAGCCTGGGTGGGCACTGTAGCAGACCTTGCTCCAGCAGCTTCTTTCTTTCTCTTCTTTCTAAGAATATATCTTGGATTTGAAGTAAATGAGTGTTTCAGAATAAGCTGAACTAGCCTTTCTCATTATAATTCAGCCCCGGGTATCAACAGAAGATTTATTTTTGAGTCTTAGGAGCTGGCTTAGTAGGTAAGAACCCTTGCAATGCAAGCATGAAGACCTGTGTTCGAGTTCCCAGCTCCCATGTACAAGATTGGTCTGTGATTTCAGTGCTTGTGGTTGAAGGTAGGCATACAAAGATTCATTTTTGTTAACTACTTATAAAAGTTAAAAAATCTTAAATGTCTCAAAGGTTAAGCTGAACTTGTTAAATTGCTGAAGTCAAGCTTGAAACTTCACAGTATTTCAAATTATACACAATAAGACTGTTTTTGTTTTTTTCTTCATAGAGACCAAATTCTGTATAGTAATTTGCCTGAAGATTTGGGATTTGCAGCTATTTGTAATTTAATTGCAAAGAATACAGATAATTTAAATTTCAGTCTTGTTTCATTATTTGGCTTCTGTACATCCTGAGCTAGGAGTTTTCAACTAGGGATGATTCTGCACAGTACTTCCTGTTCCCCACCCCACCTCAAACCAAGAGATGTGCGGCAACTTCTGGATAACTTGTTTTCTTGGGACAGGGAGTCTCATGTATCTAAACTAGTTACATAGCCCGGGCTGACAATGAACTCTTTACCATCCTGCCTCAGCCTTCCAACTTTTTGGATACATACGGTTGTTGTCACAGCTAAGCAAGCCAGTGCTACTGGCATCTGAAGGCTAGAAGCTGATGCCACTGCTGACTAGTTTGCAGTACATAGGACAGCACCTCACACTTAACTGTCCAACCCACCACATCAACAGTGCTGAGGTTAAAAAGCTTATTCTGTGTCCGCGTCTTACACGCTGCACCTGTGAGAAGTTCAACCAGGCTGGGGAGATTGATCATTGGGTAATGTGCTTGCCCTGCAGTCATAAAGACCCGAGTTTACTTTCCCAAGTCATGTAAGGAGCTAAGGAGAATTTAGAGTGCTGGGGTGTTTCTGTAACCCCATCAGTAGGGGGATTAGCCTAGTGTAATTGATGAGCCTCAGGATCAGTGAGAAGAGACCTAGTCTCAAAAAGGAAAGGTGGTAAGGAATTGAAGAACATACCAAATGTCAATCTTGAACCTCCACATGCACATGTGCATACCCATACTAACAAGTCTCACACACACACACACACACACACACACACACAGAGAGAGAGAGAGAGAGAGAGAGAGAGAGAGAGAGAGAATGAATATGTCTTGCTTAAGCAACTTTAAGAAAATATTACTTGTTCACTGGGACCAACTTATTTGCATCTAGCTGCTACAATTTTCCTATCATGACTAGAATTTCATGTGGTAATATTCACAGAACATTTCTTCTTCTTACACTGAAGACAGTTGTCTTTGCAAAGAAGAAGGGAGTGATTTTAGCAGCCACTTTTGCTTTAGGCGAAGCTCTTTCCACTTCCTTTACTCTAACTGAAGAAAATTTAATCTTCCCTGAAAGCCAGTATAACCACTGTCAAGTTCTGAAAAAGAATCAGATTCTAAAACATATCTATAGCCTTCCAGCTGCCTAAAAGTCACATGATTTTCATCATATAAAAAGAATCTAGCTTCTAATGTAGTGGCTGGAAGTTTAGCTGCCAATAGTCACATGCCATACTGAATTGTGCAGGGTACAACTGAAAACAGGAGATTTGCTAACAGCTGGAAACCAAGCTGTCCTGTACATTGTGGAGGCACTAGGAGTTGAGGGTTCATTGTTGCAGCTTTCATGTGCAAAGTGTTCTTCTGGGAGGTGCTTCTGCTTTTTCTGCAGGACCTGAACCGCTGGGATTCTCTCTGTGCTGCTAATATGGTTCACCATTTAACTGCAGCTTTGCAGAAAAGTTTGCCTTCTCTTCACTTGCTCCTGGCAAGAGAATGAGTTTTTCCTGGTGTTAGAAGTGAAAGTTAAACAGATGGCTATTCAGCATGTTTAAATTCAATAGTAAACTAAGTAATCTTAACTAAAAAGCTTTTTCCACTTGAGGTGTGTATTCCTGAATTTTATGTAGTCCTTACTATTTACTACATAAAATCTCACTCCATTCTTAGTAGCCTGCCCCTGTCTCAGGTATATTCACTTGGAGCAGTGCCAATTTAACAGTGATTAATGGAACTTATGCCTAATACCAATAAAATATTTAATTATAAATAACAACCATCTGGTGGCAGTAGCTATGACTTATTTCACATTTTAATATATTTTATAGTTTATAAAATTATTAATATATACATAAAATTTTTAAAGATCAGTTTATTTTTAGTGTGTGAATGTTTTGTTCTGCATATATGTGTATCACATGTGATTTTGGTGCCCAGCTAGATCAGAAGGGGTCATCAGATTCCCGGAACTAGAGTTACTCATATTGAGGATCACTGTGTGGGTCCTGGTAATTGAACCCGGGTCCTCTGGAAGAGCAACACATACTCTTACTGCTGAGCCATCTCTCCAGTCCAATTTATGAACACATTTTAATGTTTTAAAATATTTTTGTTGGGGGCATGATGGCACACACCATTAATCCAACCTCTCTGTGAGTTCAAGGGTAACCTTGTCTGCAGAGCAAGTTCCAGATCAGCCCACACAGTGGAACTGTGTCTCAGATTTTGTTGTTGTTATTTAGGTGTCATGCCATAGGTGTGGAGGCAGACATTTTCAGATGCTCCTTTCTCGTGTGTACATCTTCTGATACCCCAGGATTCCCCTTTCCATTTCACATATCAGCTACCACAGGAAGTGTGTTAGCAGGTGTTTGTACTTGTCTGCGTATCTTGGCAGTCTTGCTTAATCTCTTGCTCACATTCAGAAGATTGGAGCATGGTGTCCCTGACAAGCCACATGGGCTGATGATGGCTAAGCTTTTGAAGCTGCTTTTAAGCCCTTCTGATGACAAGGAATGTGCCTGCTATTCCTCTAATCACCAGCCTTACGCCACCTCCTCTTGGCCTTTAGCCAAGAGAAGAATCCTAATATGGCAAACTATACTTGACTTCTCTTGTTTTTCCTAAGTGTCTGGAGTATCAGAATTTAGAATTAGTGACTACATACCTCATTCATGACTAGCATCTAATTTTCCATAGAAAGTCTTAAGTATTTTGTGTTTTTAAATTGTTTCAAAATTGCTTCTTCAGTAAAGTTTTCTGAAAAGTTGGACAATATTGTGAAAGTTCATTAGATTTCATAGGACAACACACAAGCATTTCATAGAAAGAAGATGAAGTTTAAGCCTATTAACAAGAGAAAGAGATCATGCAACTGCAGACACTCATCAGGATGAAGTGAAACTGGTAGACTGAACTCTAAATCTGAAAGCACTCTGCACAAATTCTGGAATGTACTTTATTCCCCTGTGGCTCTAAAGTCTTCTAAATTAAAGCTGCTTATGTATCTATATATGTTAGTTTAAAAACTCAATATGAATTTTAAAAATTCATATTGTTCAATCTGGAGCCCTATTGTTTGTTTGTTTAATCTTGACACTTGCTTTATTTATTATAACCAAAGTACCCTACACTTGTAATTTATATACTGGAACTTGTGTTTATAATAAATTTTGGAGGAAGTAGAGAATACATTTTTTTGTGGCAGAATATTAGGTTTGATTTTACTTAACGCTGAATTTAGGATCTGTAGGAAAGTTAATATCCCTGCAGGTTCTCAATTCTCATTGATATCCTTAGAGTATGATCGTGTTTTTAAATGTTTTCCAGATTTGGTGTACCTTATCTAATCTTTGTAGTTAATCTGGCTTTATACTGTACTTCGACCCCAAAAAGAATGGATTGAGACATTTCAAAATAAATAAGTACATCCATGTCTTTTCTTAAGAACTGTTTTTTTTCCTCCTTCTACTCTTGAGCCATTTTCTTAGTCATCTGTCTGCCATTAGATTTGTAACAAGGGGAAATGAAGGACCTGTGAGAAACAGGAGGAGGAACTAACATGTTATGTGCCTGCAGACTCTCAATCTAGCTATTTTACCTTCTCATTTCTCTACAGTACTGTGAGGAACGCACCTTGGACCCTGCCATCTAAGTAGCACTGGGAATCCACCATTGTTAAAAGTTCAGGACAGTAGCTTGTCTATTGGCTCTGAGCTCATCTCAATGCCAAGGCTGACCAGTCTTCCTCAAATCTGACTCAGTGTACAGAAGAAGGAAGAGAGGACTATTGCTGTTGATTTGTTTATTTTGTTATTTTTTCCCCAATTATCTCACACTACAACATTCTTTGGAATTTATTCCAGAGAAACAGAAAAACAGTTATTATTATCTTGCCCATGTTATGGATTAATTACTTAAAATTCACTTCTCAGAGTAGACAGAGCATCTAGTGCCTTTGTAATTTTATAGAAAAAGTGAAAGAGATTCAGGTCTTCTGTAGCTGTGTTCCGTTCACTCTGATCTGCACAGCTCAAAGAGACTGTCATTCAATATCAGCAGCTGTCAGCAATTTCCTGCTGTTTTTGGATGTTACTGTTCTCACCTGCATTTCTATAATGGGTCCATTCACTCGATATTTCAAAAATTAGTTTAACTTCTAATCTAAGCAGGATACCAAGTTGAAGAAGCAAGAATAGTCCTAAATAGCACAGATTTTGATTCTGGTCTCTCTAAAACTTAAGTATTTGAGAGCTCGTGGGTGCTTGGCAGATAGACATGCAGTCATGATTCTGTCAGGATCAGCATGCTAAGTAGACTCTGGACCTAGAGGCCCTGCCTCAGACTTGGAATGTGTAATTCTTGCTAACATCAGTGTCTTATGGCATTTATATAATACAACTTTGTCATTAAAAATATTTTTACTTTTTAAAAAAAAATTTACAGTGGAAAGAGCTATAACATGAGTTGTTAAATTAGTTTTTCTTGGTTTAAATGGGTTGATGCTGGTGAAATGCAGGAATACCTGGGCCAAGTGCCTGGATTTTCTTATGTCATGCAGGGTTAATCCATTGGTGCCTGGTAAACCTCATATCTCCAGGGGTAAATCTCACACCCCCGCTCTCTCTAGAACAGTATCAGCTGTCATTTGGTAATCTTTGACTTGCTGCTATGTGCAGCAGTGATAGTATCTTCCAGAAATAATGGAAAAGCCAGCTTTGTGTGTTATTTCAAAACCTGATTGATAATAGTTGAAAATTTTCTTAACTTTGTTTGC